CCAACCTAAAGTAAATTACTTTGGTCATTTGAGGTTGCTTGCCAGAAGTTGAGAATCTGATTTTGTCATTAGTCTTGTCATTGTTTATGTTATCGCTTCAGTAACTGCCCACGTTGCTCTAGATCCAAGAACTCACACGTGACTCAAAAATTCACGTTCATGAATCATATAGGACGAGAACCAAGAGTTCTTGGTCAATAGTACTATATTTTATCTCAAACTAGGGGACAATCACAGGGAAAAAGTACCAAAAAAGTTCTAAACATATTGTATTATAACTAATTTGATTATAAACCTTTCAATTAAACTAATTTAGTCATAAATATTTTAACATTGGCACCAATTTAGTCCATCCGATCAATTTAGGCTGAAAATTGTTGACGTGGACGCTGGCTATCCTAAATGGCACAGCTGATGCTAACATAAATAATTTTTTATAATTATTTTCGGATTTTTTATTAAATTTTTAAATTTTTTCCCTTTTTTATTTTTTTCCTTTCCTTTTCTTTTCCTTTGGCCTATGGGCTGTACTTGGCCATGGCCGGCGATCAACCACAGGCAAGGGCCGGCGAGGGCGTCGCAACCCTCTCTAGATCAGGCGAGGGCTCAACCCTCGCGACCTGGGACGAGGGCCATGACGCCCTCACCCGTGGCCAGTCGCCGACCATGACCGAGTGCTAGCCATAGGCCAAAGAAAGGAAAGGAAAGGAAAAAAAAAAGAGAAAAAAAATAATACAAAATAACATTGTTCATGTCAACACCGGCTATGCCACGTCGGACGACCAGCGTCCACATCATCAATTTCTGGCCTAAATTGGCCAAGTGTACTCAATTGGTACTAATGTGAAAATGTTAATGACTAAATTAGTCCAAATGAAAGGTTTAGGACTGAATCAGTACCAATGCAATATATTTGAAACTTTTTTGGTAGTTTTTCCCCATAATCACCCAACGGTTTCCTTTTCACTTATTCAAAACTTCCATGATGAAAGCTGTATCAAAATTTCTACACTCGAGTTAGTCAAGAACTCTCGGTATTTCCTAGCTGCCAATTACTCTTAATCTCTCGAAGGAATTTACATATTTTACTACTTCAAAATACTTGTATTTTCTTAGGATGTAATTCACGGGCATGCCATTACTACGGCGAAAAGCTCATGTTCTCATTGATGGGTTAAAACCAAAACTCGCATCTTATGTCTGATATTTGTTTCCTAATTAAGAAACCTAGAAAACTCACTCAAATTAAGAAATCTACTCAAATTGAGAAACCTAATTGGGTTGATTATTCTTCACGGGTTCAAACTCGAGTTATATATCCTGTCGGCAACACTCCAGCTAAAATAAATCGACCTCATATTGTACAAGGCTCTTGATGAATTTTTCGAAGTGCACTGTCTAACTTCCTCTGAGAGGTAACCAGACAGAAAAATCAACAACGAAACAAAGCCACGATGTTTCCTCGATTTGGAGGTTTATCCAAAAGCTATTCAACCTTGATGGCCAAGGAAACGAGACCGTGTATATATATGTATATATCCCCCAAACACACACACGACCAGAAACAGAAAAAAGGGAAATTCGTATCCGCTAGATTAACCCTAAAAGAGAAAGATATTCGATGGAGTCGACTTCATCGTCTGAGTCCAAAATCGCCACGGCCAAGGCGGTGTTCACGGCCGCCGCATCCGTCACGGCCACGGTGATGGTTGCCCGCTCCGTCACCCAGGATCTGCTCCCTGACGACCTCCGGTACTACCTCTCCTCCGCCATCCGCAGCTTCCTCGCCCGCTTATCCTCCCAGCTCACCCTCGTCATCGAGGAATATGACGGCCTTGTCAGCAACCAAATCTACGACGCTGCACAGATCTACCTGTCCGCCAAGATCTCCCCCACCACTCGCCGTCTGCGGGTTGCCAAGCCCGAAGGCGAGGACAACCTCAACATTTCAATGGAGCCGCACGATGAGGTCGTAGACATGTTCGGTGGTGCCAAGCTCAGGTGGGTCATGACCTCGAGAAGAATCGAGACAGGTTTCGAAGCCAGCCGAGGGAGGCGGAGGATGATGGGCGCAGTCGCTACGCAGTCCGAGGCCCGCTTCTTTGAGCTCAGCTTCCACAAGAGGCACAAGGACATGGTGATGAGCACGTACCTGCCCCACGTGGTGGAGGAGGCCAAGTGGATGAGGCAGGACAAGAAGACGCTGAAGCTGTTCACGCCGTGCTGGGAGAACATGTACGGCGGCAGCCTCTCCGATGCGTGGACCCCGGTTAACCTCGACCACCCCGCGACGTTCGAGACGCTCGCGATGGAGGCGGCAACCAAGGAGTTCATCATGGAGGACCTGAAGAGGTTTGTCAAGAGGAGAGAGTATTATAGGAAAGTAGGCAAGGCGTGGAAGAGGGGGTACTTGCTGTACGGACCGCCGGGGACAGGGAAGTCGAGCCTGATCGCGGCGATGGCGAATTACTTGAAGTTCGACATATACGACCTGGAGATGACGGAGCTGACCCGGAACTCGGAGTTGAGGAAGCTGCTGGTGGCGACGGCGAACCGTTCAATCCTGGTGGTGGAGGACATCGACTGCACCATCGCGTTCCACGATCGCATGGCGGAGGCCCGGGCGGCAAGCTCCTCGTCCAGCGGCGAACCGGAGAACCAGGTTTGTCTCGTCATACTCTGATTATTCAGGTTTTTCTTTTATTATTAGGTGACTAAATCAATATACCCTTTGACCAAAAAAATAAATAAATAAATATTCTCGTGTTTCGATCCATAAATAAATGTACTCATGTCATGATCTCGAGGCCACTCATACAAAGAAAACTTTTATTACCTATAAAAACACTCTTTTTTCCTAATTAACTGAAAATAGATTAGAACAGGAAGCACATGCATAGATGCAAAGAGAACGTGAGGGTTTTTGTTAGTATCGAGATTTTCAAAGGACATAAATCCTCGCAATTTAGATGGATCGATGTAATTTACTCTCATCGTATCGATATCATCCATTTTTATTTAATTTAATGTTGTTTGCAGATATTAAAGGGTGATTAAGTTAAAGGATCCGAGTCTCCTTCTTTAATTTAGTGAATTACAAATTAAAAGTAGCAAGGAAATCAGAGAGAAAAATGCATGATTTGGAGAAATTGAGGATGTGAACACGAAAGGAGATGAAAATCAACCCCGTCAAATGGATTAGAAACTATCTAATGCGTATGCCCTACTTACAATGACACTTTGAAATTTCCAATTGCTTGAATTAATCAGTCAAGATATACTAGATTTGTCAATTTTGGCCAGAACAAACTATAGATTATTAGAGTGACACGTTGCTTCTTCTTCTATAGGAGTTTCGTGGAAACTTCATTATTGGCCTATGTACGGTGCATGTATACTCTTTCTCTTTGCTTCATATGTTAATGATCATTGCCTTCGGGATGCGGCAGGTCACACTATCAGGCTTCCTCAATTTCATCGACGGGCTCTGGTCGAGCTGCGGCGACGAGCGGATCATAATCTTCACCACGAACCACAAAGAAAAGCTCGACCCGGCGCTTCTCCGACCGGGTCGTATGGACGTCCATGTTCACATGTCTTACTGTACCCCGTGTGGATTTAGGCTCCTGGCTTCGAACTACCTCAAGGTCAAGGATCACGCGCTCTTTGGAGAGATTGAGGGTTTGGTCCGCACCGCCGAGGTCACTCCGGCCGAAGTCGCGGAGCAGATGATGAAGAGCGAGAAGCCCGAAGAGGCATTGAAGGACATCATTGAGTTCCTCATGGTGAAGATTAAGGAAAATGCGGAGCTCAAAGCCAAGAAGGTTGAGCAAGAATTACTGGCGGAGAAAGAGGGGAAAAAGGAGGTGCAAGAGGTAGAAAAAGTGAATGTGAAGGAAGACAAATAAGCAGATGATGACGAAAATTAAGAGTGATATATTACACTTTTTGTAATGTATTTATCATAAAAATTTAAGTACTAATCATTGTTTGGAGGATGTAAAATAAACTTTACGCATCTTCCAGATTGTTTTCTACTTTTTAAAGAAAATATTGAATTTATGAAAAAAGTTTACATCCATTGAAATGAAAGAATTTTCACAAATGACCTCGTCAATTATTGATATGATAGCTACAGCTATGCATGTTTTTAACTAGCTACCAAATCAATGACGGATATCGGTGACGGATATTAGTGTAGAGAGTCTTTACACCCACAATGTATGCTATAAAAATTCGTAATTTGTACCCACTAAGAGTTCATGCTTCCATAAATCGCGCATGGTCACCACGCCATGGCCATTGCAATCAGCACTATTCACCTAACTTGATTTTGCACCGCCAACGGTCGCTCTTCATCATCATCATCACGACATCACCTCAACTGCCGACGCCGCCGCCACCACCACCACCACTGGCAGTAATTCACCATCTTACCATTACTAATTCGATCCAACTTACAATCTATCACGTCTCTCTTATCATATACCCTGAAATATATAAAATGGTTAATACCACAAAAAAAACTCAAATTACATTTACTGTGACACAAATACTCTAAATTATTTTTTGTAATACCCTAATTGTTTTTTGTATTATAAAAAATTCTGAACTTATACAAATGTAACAAATATATCTTGGATGGAACTGAAATAAAAAGTATATATGTCATAAATGTATAAGCTTGGGTTTTTTCGTGACACAAAATAAAAGTTGAGGGTACATATGTCACAGTATGCAAATTTAGGTTTTTTGGTAACACAAAAAAGATTAAGGGTATTTATATCACAGTGGGTATAGTTTGGGATTTTTTTGTAACATTTGCCCTAAATAAAAAGAAAATAGTAGAAGAGTCTAAATCCAACGTATGCAAATTCACAATGACGTGAACCGCTTTTTGGGCCCGGCCCATTCATGTACCAAAGCGTGCAACTGCAAACGGCCTGACATGATTCTAGACCGGTGCGAACCGCCCCGTATTCCCTTCTCACGTCCTCCGGTTCTCGCCAATCAGGTCGCCGTGATTTTCCGCTTCTCTTCCTCGTGGGAACGAGTGCTTTCGAAATTCGCAAAGTTTTTCTTCTGCTCCGCCCTTCGATCTCGAAACCTGTGGCGGAAACGAGGCCTCTCCCGATCCAGCCGATCCAGCTCGCCGGTCGGTGAACGCGATCTCGACCTCCGTCTTTTCGAGGCTTCGAATGATCCTGCCCCCTCGATTCGTTCTCTTGCCTTTCCCGTGAAATCTTTTCCTTGCCCGTTCGTCTGATCAGTGTCGATCGATTCAGGTTTTCCAGGGAGACGAGAGGCGAGATGGACCCGGATGCAGTCAAATCCACTCTCTCCAACTTGGCATTTGGGAATGTAATGGCTGCCGCCGCTCGCGATTATCAAAAGGTGCGGTTTTTTTGAACTTTTTAGCATCTGGGTTCGTTTTCTTTTGCTCTTCTGTTCGTGTAATTTTCTGGGCATGTCGAGATTTTCGGTTCTGTGCTTCGAATTTGCGGAAAGCTGGGAAATTTGCAATGACTGTCTATTGCTGTTGCTGGGATTGCTCCTTTTTAATATAGTGACTGTTGAGATTGGATTTGATTGTGCAGCAACTCGTATTATGAGCTAGATTGGATTGATTTTTCTTCTTCTTTACTTTCCATTCTTACTGTTTTTGTGAAAGGCTTTGAAAGTTCAATTGTAAGCTATAGCCTTTTGTACATTCGTTTTTTCTATGTGTTGTGCTTGACCATGTACTGATTTTTCACAGGAGGTACTAGCCCAACAAAAAGCTCAAACTTCCACTTCTACCCACCAGGAGGTTGATCTTGATGAGTTGATGGATGTGAGTTTGGATCTTTTGTTATGATCCTTTACATGTAAATTCGTAAGCATATGCTTGTACCATTGTTTCTACTCTCTAGTTCTAATATCGCCTTATGACGACAGGATCCTGAACTGGAAAAATTGCATGCTGATCGGATTGCTGCCCTCAAGGTGAGAACATTTTCCTACTTGTGAGTTGTAAATATGAATTATCGGTGGTAGATTTGTCAGTTTCACTTTTTGTTTTTCTTTTCTGGTGGAACAGAAAGAAGCTGAGAAGCGCCAAGCATTGAAGCAGCAGGGTCATGGCGAATACAGGGAGATAACCGAGGGCGATTTCTTGGGCGAAGTCACCAGGAGTGAAAAAGTGATCTGTCACTTTTATCACCGAGAGTTTTACCGTTGCAAGTAATGTCACTAGAATATTCTTCCTCACTTACGAGTATTTTAGTCTTGGTGTTTGCTTGGTGCTCAATTGCTTACGTGTTTATACTTGGGTAATGCCTTCACAGAATAATGGATAAGCATCTGAAGACTCTTCCTTCAAAGCATTTGGATACCAAGTTCATCAAGCTCGATGCAGAGGTTAGTTTTCCTTCAGATTGATTCGTTGAAACTTTGGCATAGAAGTTATCCCAAAAGCAATGAAATGAGAGTGCTAATTGCCGCTGTTAGCTGTGATGCAGAATGCGCCCTTTTTCGTGGCCAAACTAGGAGTCAAAACATTGCCTTGCGTCATACTTTTCAGGTCAGGGCTTAGATATATATTTCTGCTATGTTTGTATTCAGTTATTCATCAGTGTGTGCAACTTGTTTGCTTCTATTTTGGATATTTACTGTTATTGAAGCTTGAGGTGATCCAGAGTCACTCTGTTCATGTTTCCCCTAAGATGAAATGTTAAGCTCGAGATTTTCTTTCGTTCTCATTTCAGGAAAGGGATCGCAGTAGATAGACTAGTGGGATTTCAAGATCTTGGAGGGAAAGATGATTTTTCTACAAGGGCACTGGAAGCTCTTCTGATTAAGAAAGGTCTCTCTCTCTCTCTCTCTCTCTCTCTCTCTCTCTCTCTCTCTCTCTCTCGCGCACTCATGCAGGCACATGCATGAATTTGATATTAAATGCTTGTTGACATACAGGCATAGTAAGTGAGAAGAAGGATGATGTAGTCAATGAAGATAATGAATGTCTGGAGAATAGGCACAGATCTGTGAGATCTTCTGTGGATCCAGATTCCGATTCTGACTAAAACTGGAAAGCAAATTCCAGCTCTTTTCTCGAAGATCTTGTAGCTTTCACCGGCGCATGTTGTATAATTGTTCTCATTTTTGTTTGCTATCCTGTTTTCACCATTTAAATGCAGTCGACATGCATTTCCTGAAAGTTTGAAGCTTGATTCTGTATCTGACTAGAAAAGAAAACCAAATGCAGCTTTTTCTTGAATCTTTGTAGCTTCCATACCACATGCCTGTATAACTAACTATGTCACATATGTTACCATTCAAATGCAGATCAAAAAAAAAAAAATGCAGTCACCTGCAATTGCTCTAGTTTTTGGATCACATAACTTATGTGCCTGGGACACCTTCAATCAAGATATCATGAATAGTGAATTGAGACTTGAACAAATTTTGCAGCCCTAACTTAGCTGAGAAATGTACTTATATATAACTTGCATTGACGTTGGTTTGTGCTTTGCTTGTTTACGTTTCCACCATAATTCAAGACGTCGCTTGATTTGAAAACGAAAGACAGGATTAGCAAAAAACGAACTCCTTTCTTTCCTAAGAATCCGAAGAAACTATTTTCTCACTTCTTTTAGCACTAGAGAAAAGATAATCAAAGAATGCGCTATGAATAGAATGAAGAACGATAGATCCTCGCTTCAAGAAGAATCGTCTTCTTACGAGTTGGGTTTCATTTAATAATGATATTATCTGGTAAGATGCTTGTTTTTCTCTCCTTTATTATGGCGAGTTCCGATCCCTTTGTTTGAAATTTCTTTGTTCGTACCGAACCGCCTGTAGAATCAAATCCCATTCCACAAGATCCTATATCAGCTATACATCTGCCTTGCATAAATGAAATAAATGCTAAAGTATAAATAATTTCTTTGAGATTTATGTCTGCCCGGCATAAAAGAGTAGGGCAAGGGTTTAATCTTCACAACCGGTTCTCTCTGAAGAGTTCCACGAAACCAAAGCAATTCTTTTGCAAGAATTATTGAAAGTTGCAAAGTATTTGAATGGGAAAATTACATTAATGGTCTCTGAATTTTGATCCAATGTGCAACATAGTCTTTGAACTTTTAATTTGTTCAATATAATATTTGAACTTTTGATATATGTTCAAACTAATCCCTAGAATATATGAAAATGGTCAATATTATCTTTCTATTAATATAAATTCATGTACAATATTAAACATTTTCATATAGTTCAGGGACTAGTTTGAACATGTACCCAAAGTTCATAGACCACATTAAATAAATTAAAAGATTTAAAGATCAAATTGCACGTTGAGCCAAAATTCGGAGATTATTTATGTCATTATTCCTATTTTGAATCTAAGTGGAGTCAAAGTCAACACTCAAAAGAGATGGGGAGACAGAATTTTCCCGGGAAAAATGGGAAAGACGTCGATGGAGTCGTTCAAACTTCCACATGATGTCAAATATGTGTTGAACAGAATGGCCTTCGAATTCGCATGACACTGCGCGAACTCGGAAAGTCTCCATTTTTCTATCTGTTGTAACACGTCATGTCCGAAAACCGCTCCGCTCCACTGGAAAATCGTGAGGCCGTGCTCTCTCTTCTTCCTCAAAATCCTCTGCCCCTCCAAGAGCACCATCCCCCCCAAAAAAAGAGCGAAAAAATTATAACCCATTCTTCACCTGCTTTCTGTTCTTGCCCTTTTGGATTAGGTACGCCTTCTTCAGCCATGAATTTCATTTGATTCATTTGTTTTAAAGATATTCGAATTGCGATTCGTGTCGGGGTGGCTTCGAGCTAGGATTCTTGTTGCAACGTAGAGCTGACAATTCGTGTTGGCTTGTGATGCATTTGCGGATGTTATCCAATGCAATCGCAATTGGTATCCGAACCCTGCATCAACCGTGGCATGTCTTGTTATGGTGGAAGTTGATTGTGTAATTTCGTGTGTTTCGGGTAGCTGTCTAACGTTTGCAGATTTGTTTTCCCTTCGTAACTTGTTTCTTCGGGGCGTATGCAGATAATTGATTAGGCATTCAAGGTCCTGGCATCGGCATTCATCGAGGCGAAATAGAAACAAGCAGTACCATGTCGGGACCACTATCTCCCAAACCGGGTAATGCTTTCCTCTATGATTCGTGACTTCATTTATTTGCGGTTGCTTTAATGCATCGGCATTCAAGATTCGAGAGATTAGTATGGCCTGTTATATTCTAACATATACAAGAACTACTAGCATATTGATCCATACCCTAAAAAGAAAAGAAAGTACTGAAAGCTGAAGTACTGTTTACGTCGTAACTCGTCGCATGAAATCTTGGTGAACTCTTGGGTAGCTACGTCTCGCATATTGCGGGACATATTCCGACTGTTCTTACGGACTCAGAATAGAATTTCTGATGGTTTTCTGCTCCTATTGTTATCAATATGCAGCTGATGAGAGACATGATGTCGAACATCATGAGAAGAACAAGATTGCATCTTTCAAGAAGAAAGCTATCAATGCCTCCAACAAGTTCAGGCATTCTTTGACCAAGAAGGGTAGGAGGAGCAGCAAAGTCATGTCCGTTGACATCGAGGATGAGCACGATGCTGAAGAGTTGCAAGCTGTCGATGCTTTCCGTCAAGCTCTGATACTGGAGGAACTCCTACCGTCAAAGCATGACGATTACCACATGATGCTCCGGTACCTCATTTTCAGTTTGGCTTGTGAATACATAAGTAGCTGTCACGTGAGGAGCAAAAACATGAGTTTGTTTTAACTGATATTTTTTTTGTGTTGTGTTGTGCTGTGTATGTGTGATATATGATACATGATGCTCCGGTAACTTATTAGGGATGTCTATTTTGTTTTCACTGTTGCCTATGCCAAAAATACATATGATTGTGCTGACCAGTCACTGTATCTGGTGTGCTAAGATACCGTGAATATGGTTTAGTGCTTCTTTAAGTTCTAATTGTTGATTCCTCGACAGAGGTCCCTGTTAGCAATTAGTACTGAGACATCAGCGAGCAAACTCTCATAGATTCATGTAGAAAAAATCGAAGAGTGGAAGTGATTTTCCTATTTTCCTAAATCACACATAGAACACGGATAAATATATGGAGAAATGTGCTTTTAATTAACAATTTAGACCCTCATACTGTAGGTTCTTGAAGGCCAGGAAGTTTGACATCGAGAAATCAAAGCAAATGTGGGCCAACATGATCCAGTGGAGGGAAGAATTCGGTGCCGACACCATCTTAGAGGTAATTGTTGCAGGAACTGTTGTTGAAGCTAAAGAGTCTCTCTACGAATGATGCCTCAATACGTAGACACGCTCATTTTCGTCACGAGTCTGGTTTCCTGTCATGAGAGTCAGCATATCCTTGAGTTGCAATTTATTTATGCTAATTCCTGTTTAATTGTCAGGAATTCGAATTCGAAGAGATTAATGAAGTCCTCAAGTACTATCCCCAAGGGCATCATGGTGTAGATAAGGAAGGTCGGCCCGTGTATATTGAGAGACTCGGTCAAGTGGATGCCACAAAGCTGATGCAAGTCACGACCATGGAGCGTTATGTGAAATACCATGTTCGGGAGTTTGAGAGGATCTTTGCTGTGAAATTCCCAGCTTGTTCCATAGCAGCAAAGAAGCACATCGATCAAAGCACTACAATATTGGATGTGCAGGGAGTGGTAAGCCAAAAAGCGATCATAAACAAAGGTTTTCATGTTACTGAAAGAAAATTAGTTGCTTGTCACAAGGGCGTTCTCTTAGAATTTGTTAACTCTGCAGGGGCTTAAAAACTTCAATAAAGCCGCCAGGGACCTTGTCACTCGCCTTCAGAAGATTGACGGTGACAATTACCCCGAGGTACTACATCACTCTTACCTTATCAGGCAACTTGCTATCGAGTGTTAGCTGTTAATCTTTGCTAGCTATCGGTTCTTTAACTTCACATGATGCGACAACATGTCAAATCTGCACTGCAGACCTTGAACCGGATGTTCATTATCAATGCGGGTTCCGGCTTTAGAATGTTGTGGAACACTGTTAAGTCTTTCCTTGATCCAAAGACCACGGCTAAGATTCATGTAAGCGCGTTCTATGTGCATCATATATGTTTGAGCAATTAGACTTACATGGAAGACTTGAATTAACAAGAATCCACACTCATGCCAGGTCCTTGGTAACAAGTACCAGAGCAAGTTGCTTGAAATAATTGATGCAAGGTAAGCCTATAATTGTGCTTTCTCTTTTTGTTTTGCCACACGTTATCCTGATTATTTTTCTTCGAACGTTCGGCAGCGAGTTGCCAGAATTCTTGGGAGGCACTTGTACTTGTTCAGACCAGGGTGGTTGTATGCTTTCTGATAAAGGCCCATGGAAGGACCAAGAGATAATGAAGGTCCCCCAGAACAACTCGCTTTTCAAATCTTTGTTGTTCATACGTGTCGGTTTGTTGAATTCTGCAGCTTCAGTCTTCGACTGAATCTCACTTAGCTGCACGCTTTGCAGATGGTTCAAAATGGCGATCACATGTGCCGAAAGAAATCAACCACTGGTTCTGATGAGAAGACAATCTCTGAGGATGAGATGGCAAATGCCAAGGTTCGCCTTCTTTCTTAATCTCATTATTTTTCTTTGTCTAACCATGTATGTACCTTTTGTACTGTGGCATGATGGGTACCATAGTAACTTCTTTCTAATTGTGAGGTCATTTTTTGCAGTCTTTATTTCATTTGTTTCCTTGCTGAGATTTGTTGCTAACTTCTACAGGGATGTGATCACCCCAATTCCGATGCTGTGGACATGCGACCTCAACCTCCCCATCTGTCTCCTATCGTTGAAGAAGTACGTCCAGCTGGCTTATTAACCTTCAGAATGAATAGATTAGCAAGTATAAGGCACACGAGAGTGTTGTCATAGCTTGGCAACCACTTTCTAGCTTACAGCTGTGTTCTTGTTTCAGTCCATTCATAAAATTAAGAAGCAAAGTAAGAAACTACGATGGCCTGCATGACGTTTCAAAGTCTTTTTCGACTCAACAAGATTCGTTTGTTTAGACAAAAAGCTTTAAGGAAGCAAGCTTTTTTTTTTATTTCTATATTTTCGCTCCCCTTATGTACACAAATTAGCCCGGCGAGGCTATCTGTAATCACTGCCTTGCCTCCAAATAGTCCTTCCAGTGGTCTCTTTTAGCCATAAAAGTGTTCGTTCTATTCCCTTTCATTTTCCTCGTGTATCCACATTTAACAGATTTTGCTATTTCCAACTTTCTTAAACACGAGTTTTTGCAGGTCTACAATGGCCAAAATTGCAAGAAATCTTTCAGGCGTGAGGATTTTGTCCCAGTGGTCGATAAAAGCGTCGTTGCGACTTGGGAAAAGTTTGCGCATGATGATAAATTGGCACTTCCAATAGGTACATCTATACCTCTTTTTCCGCCTGCCTCCTGACACATCTTATTCTTTATTAAGTTAGTTACTTAACTGCCTCTTGATCAAAGGCAAGTCTTCAATAGTTACTTAACTGCCTCTTGATCAAAGACGATTCTTCAATAGTTTGTGCATAGATCCCTCCAATTTCTGTCCTACCTGTTACACATAGTATGTTGCACCAATGAATCTTCCCAGCCTTTTGAGAAATGAAGTGACCCATATACTATTCTTTTTATTTGTTCTTGTCCCCCTGATCTGTGTTTTCTTCATGCTGCATCAGGAAATCACTTTGCCATGGCTGATCCTCACAAGGCCCCCAAACCTGAAGGCTTTAGCTCTCATCTTTTCTCCGGCCTAATGACAGTGGTCATGGGCGTCGCCACCGTCATTAGAATGACGCGCAACATGCCCAAGAAGGTCACTGATGCTACCTTGTACTCTAGCGCAGACTACTATACCGACAACATGGTTAAGAGCCAGCTGCACTACTCTGAGTTCGCTCCGCCACCTATCTCTTCTTCCGACTACTTCACGATGTTGAAGCGCATGGCCGAGTTGGAGGAGAAGGTCACTGTCCTGAACATGAAGCCCGCTGCCATGCCTGTGGAGAAGCAGGAAATGTTGGATGCTGCAATAAGCAGGGTCAGCACATTGGAGCAAGAGCTTACGGCAACCAAGAAGGTTAGTACATTTCGACACAACGGCCGAACGGTCAATACAACACTTTATTAGAACAGTTTTAACTTGCCATCTCCCATGCACAATGATTGGAAGTGCAAATAGTTTGAACTTGAAAATGAAGTTTTATCGATTTGATGTATTAACATTCCTCCAAATGTATCACTGTCTAAGCATCCTGGCTTTGCCCATGAGTAAGAGTTCTTCAAAAAAGAGATTCTTTTGAAAAGTTCACGGTCATAATGAGCTGCAAGGATTCGAATGGCCATGTAAATTCTTGAAATCAGTTCACTGATTTATATTTCTCTAGCTGGATGGGCAAATTCAATTGTAAGTTGTCAAAAAAGCCACATGTTCTGTTGCTTGTCCAGGCTCTGGACGATGCAATTGGCCGACAGCAGGAGCTCCTGGACTACATCGAGAAAAAGAAAAAGAAGAAGTCGCTGGTAAGACCAACCGCGTCTTTTTTACTTCCTCCATGATTGTGTAATTAAGTACCACTGAGTGAAGATGCTTCACAATCTGAATTCTTTTTGCTTTGTTTTTGTCTCTGATGCAGTTTGGCTGGTAAGGGAGAGACACTGAATGCCCCCCCGGGGAGATTGCTGGTGATCCCAAAAGTGGTGGTTGGGTTATGTTCAGAGTTTTCAAGGCCATCCTGAAATTCCCAGTCTTTTTCCTAAAACAGTTTCCTATAAAATTGTTCTACAAACTATTAAACATTGCAAGGGCTTTCACTATCTGGTGTATATATGATGTGGAAGATCTGTTTGCGCTTGTTTTCCTGGCAACGGACCGCTCCAACTCCGCGGTTATTTTATCGGATACTAAACAATTTCCTCCTCCGTCATGTGAGGGAGAGATTCGAGAGATCAAGAGTTATGAATTGAACTAGTAACCTTTCCATTGCCACTTGGAGATCATGCATCTTAAGGCTGTGTTTTCGTGGATTCAAGTGAAGCGAGAGAGGAAATGGACAGGTTGCAAATCAGTAGAAATGAAGGGAAACTATTTCCTCTGAATCCAGAGTTGACTACCAGTTGAAGGAAACTTTTTGTTGATCTACCTTAATTTGATTTCTAAATGCGAATCATTAGAGGAAGGATATGTCGGTCCGTCGGCTAACGTACATCGGAAGTATATGTGCTCGGTTTTTCTACGGGTCAAGTCAAGAAACCAAGAAGTTACGGGCACCATGTCTTCTTGTTTCCCATGCCAATGGTTTGAAAAACTTATATTCCCCTGTCGTGTTTGCCGGTATCTCCTGGTAATCTCACTAATCAGATTCCGATCTCACCGGAAAGACTTTAAACTCGTCACGAAATGACAATATCAGCGAGGAACTAACGGTACGTACAAACTGGCCTGAAAAATTATCTCGTTCAAGAACAAGGTTAAAAAAGTCTCCCACCTTCTGTTAGAGAAAACTAAGAAGATAAACTGCATCATGTGATTATTTTTATGAATAAATTAAAAAGTTGATAAATCTCGGGCACAAATAGTGGCTGTAGTTTAGTGGTTAGAATTCCACGTTGTGGCCGTGGAGACCTGGGCTCGAATCCCAGCAGCCACATTTCCTCTCTTTTTTCGTTTCACATCTACTTTTGCTTCAATTAAGTTTATTTTATTTTTCACCTTTCATTTTCTATTGGATTGAATACCTTGCGCGATGTGTCTTATCATCTCTCATATGCTTTATGTTGTGATCAAGTCGTTTATTCTCTAAAAATCACGACGCATTACTAATTATAATACTTCTCGGTGACGGTGATGCTTCACGATTCGAAAGAGGGAAAATTGAGTAAATTTGATCTTATTTTTCACAATAAGAGGATCACTATCCTCCCATCAAACATTTTATTTGCATTGCACGGATGGCTTTGTCCTATGCACAATATCCGACATGATCATGCAAGTGGTAAAGCCTCTTGTCCTTCAATTTCCGAGTGATGAATGATGGAAAGTGGCTCAAACACTCGACAATTTGCTCTTTAAAGTTAGTGGCCAATTCCCCCTTTTTTAATTGGTGGGGCACGAAAATATCCAAATGAACACGGATGTTGATTTGAGTGAAATGGCTGCGTCAAGCATTTGCCAAAGTATTTGTGTGTGCGTGCGTGTTTGTGTGAAAAGTCAAAGAAGGTGGGTTCCTAATTTCCTTTTGGATTCATCCGAAGTTGACAATTTACTTTTGAGGTCTTCCTCATCCGTATCTCCAGTGTTCCCATATTGCAAGTGGAATACATAGCACATCCGGTCGCTTCGAAGACAAAAAGAAAAAGAATTTAAGCGATACAACGACCGCTTACACAAGTTATCGCCAAGTTGAAACCATATAAACTCGGGATCATTAGACAGCAAAGCGGACAAAAAAAGGGTTCAAAACGAAACTCCCGAAACACCCTCGTTCAAGAAAACATTGACCCGAATCGCCCATGTCTGATCACGGTAACATATAAATCGGTAACGTCAGAACTAGTCAGTGAAACCTACGCTCGCCGCTTTGATTCGGGTATGATTTTAAAAAGCAGGGAAATAATATTTCAAGGGTTTCAAATTGCTTATCAGCCGGAGTCCATCGATTTCGAAGGCCCACTTCGAATTAATCGCGTGTTTTAGTAGCTTTCTTCCTATTAATAAATCCACTAAGCTGGCCCTCTTCTGTATATGATCCACATCACTCTTTTTTCCCATGTTTTCCTAGGAAAAGAAGAGAGAAAATTTTGTCTTTCATAGAAAATTTTTAGAAGGAAGAAAGAAAGAGACTTCTCTTAAGGGGGCGGTTGGCATTTTCCTCATCCTTTCTGTGAAGATCAATCAGTGGGCTTCAATCATCATGCTAGAGCCGACATCTTGCAGACAAAGCATGATGTTTTGCTGTTTTTATATGACTATATTAAAGATGCAATCCGTGCATGCACCTTTACCCAAAAAATTATAATGATAGGATATGATTTTCTTTTCCTTCTGTAGGCAACCCTTTAGAAAAATGGGTTTCTATGTAGGCTGTGTTTAATAATTCATTTTCTGCCCTAAAATCAACCTTTTTCCAGCAATAGATGTAAGTGTCCGTTTACCCTTCACAATTACCCCGAAATGAGATTATCGTGATTTGTGCGGTTAATAGCGAGCGAATGGTGGTGATTCAAACCAATGATGATTGCTTGTATCATATATTATGTAAGAGTCGAAACCCGCGGGAGACTCATCATCATCGACAATCGTGATCACGTCCGTCTATCAACATTTGAACAGAAATTGTATGAAAGAAACGAGGGTCGGGACTTCATAGACGCTTCCTAAAAACTACTATTCAATTTTGCCAAAAAGGAAAAAAAGAAGGGTATTCTATACATGCATAGATTAGATAAGTAGAGCAGCAGTCAAGTATTAGCAACTGATAAAAGATGGTAGCATAGGAAAGTACTGATTATACGCACATGCTCATATCATTCGCCCACCACTTTAGCTATGACTTTAGTTCTTCATTGCCCGTGGCATTTGTGGCCGAGGTTATTGAATGAACCATTCTATGGTCAATGGGGGATGTATTCAAGAACTTTGACCCTCTTAGTCTATCTGAAAATATATATAATTGAATGAAACTTACCAACTTTAACTCTTTGGCCAATAAAAGGGGGGAAAAAGGAGATTAAAAAGCTTAAATTTTTATTGAGCACGTGCTAGTGATTTCACTTTCTATCCTTCAAATCTGCACCTTTGGGCAAGGGTGGGTCCATGTGAAGGAACAAGACTGTAAAGTTGAGAAAAAGGATTCAATTCGATTCGATTCAATTCAACCCCAGTCGGCTGCTTTTCAATCGCTTTTGGCAATGTACGAATGCAATGAGATAGGATTCAACCCAAAGTCATTTTCTTTAATGGCATGTGGACCTCATTAACTCAATATTTGCCACCGAGCTAAGGCAACGCGAGAAAGTGCCCTAGGCACACCATGATCTTGACGTCACATATCACGTTGGGGTCGAGATATACACTTTCGTACCCGCGGAAGGTCCATTATCGAATATGTAGTCTCGCCTGCTATGACGAATTATCAATAATTGCGATGGACCCGTCCAAGATAAACTAATGCTAGGCATGCAATGTTTCTTTTGAGTTTTCTTTTTTTATAGACAAGTGAGGTAGTAGAAGGTGGTGGCACATAATGAATTTGTTATATCACCTTAGTATTTAAGCATATTAAAGTCATTATCCAATGAAGTTCTTACTTCGTAATCAAGCTACCACTTCATACATAGATAAAGTTACGGCGAATTCTCATTCTTGCTCTATTCGTCCATCTACGACTGAAATCGAGTTACGATGACTTAGGAGAGTTTCATCCGATATCTATGATGCCCTTGCCCTTAAAACAACTGTTATTTTCCGAGAAAAAAAAACAAAAAAACTAGAATCGATAGACATGGTAGACTATAATAACATGTAGAGAATCAGAAATAAGGGATTGTATAGTATATTCTCTCCAATCTATTGTTAGATAAATTAAAAAAATAAAGGCAAACTGTATTTTGGTCATATGCTTATGCATGCAAAAGCAGATCTGATGTGGACACAGGAAAAATCATAATTTGATTTGCTCACATAAAGAAAAAGATGACAAAGAAAAAGGGGGAAAGAGCACGAAACCGTGCACCGATTCCCTTCTTCCTCATTTGTTTTGTGAAATAAGCAAAGTGGTCTTCTTGATGGACTTTCCATCATCCACTTGTTATTGTCAAACGTAATATGGATTGTTGCAAGGTGATCATATCTCACCCTGCTTCTGAAACCCTAAATTACGTCTCTTCAGGAGCTGTGCTGGACTTTGTATTTTCTGTATGCCTCTTCTTCCCACCCAATTTCGAGTTAATTATATGAAAATAGTTCGAATATTCTTGTTGACCATAGTCACTAGCGAGATTGCTCAACCCCCAGAGTCAGGGCAGTACATTGAGTCGTTGGAGGATTTCTAGCTCAGGAACTAGAAATCGCATATTCGAATCCCATCAACCGTTAGCAAATCGCTCTGAAATAAGACCATTTACACAGGCCAAAAGTTTGGATTAAATCAGTTTCATGTATCTTCTGATAGTCAGATCTCAAGATCCGTCTCCCTAGACTGTAATACAAAATAGTGAGATTGCTCTAGAACAACCTACACGACCCAACCTTAAAAAGTATGTGGTCATAGTCGATACTCATTGTGCACTACGTAAGCCACAAGATCAAAATTGGTATGGAGTTTTAAAATATGCTTTTGACGTAAATGGGTGGGCTTTGCCTTGGTGGGAGGTGATATTTCTCCCCCCTATGGAAGATAAATTGAGTTTTTGCCCTAAATATATGTGTAGTGGTGAGTTTTTTTTTTTTTCCAAACACTTTTCGGTAGTGAGTTGGAATAGTGCGCTTTAAAGTATTTATATTGAGAATTCCTGATATGGAACATATGTTAAGTATAGAAGGCGCTCCATTTTCTTTTCAGACTTTTGATATTTGCATCATAATTTATTTATTTTTTTCCATAATTTACATCCTATTCATTCTCGATTTAAAATATGACTTTTTCTCTCTCTTTTTTTAAGGTGTGAGATGAGTTTTTACAAGTGGGATTATTTTACTTATTTGTCATGAAGTGTTCACAGGAAAATGCATATTCTTCCGCATCAAAACCTTGATTTATATATAACCAAAAAAATAATGAAAAGCCATCTACGTGGAATCCTACATCCCAATCACTTTCAATTGAAGAAAACATGAAAAAAAAGAAATTCTTTCACTGATATTAAAACCCACCTTCCTAGAAAGAGAAGAGAGAGAGAGAAAGAGAGAAAGAGAAAGAGAAAGGTGTATCTGTTGACACCTACATGTGGAAAGATGACCGAAGGCCATTTTGACAAGGCGCATTGAATTTTAGTGGACTGTATTTCGTGCTTGGAGCACTATAGCACGCTAGGACGTGGGGTAGGATTCATAATCTGCAATTTGTATCGTATGTGCACAAAGAACTATAATATTGTACGTTAAAATATTCCACATCGTTTATTTCTGGAGTTTTGATGAGCCTTAAGCTTCATTTATTTCGCGAAAAATTAATGATATTAAAAGAACATTTTTTTTAAAATAATCTCTTGCATCGCTTGAAATAATTAGTTGATGACATATATATTTATTAATGACAACAATCTATATTTAAACATTTTCATGGATGGTAAAAAAATTATTCGTTTATTCATTTTTGTAGGAGATACAAGCGATTATTTTTTTAGAAAATGTTTTTCGAATATTTCATTTTCGGCAAAACAAACGGAGCCTTATATGCATTTATATCCCTTCGTCTATCAGGTTTCAGATTTTGGGTTGGACTTTCTAATATTGTGAGAGTTACTGAGCACTATCTAACAAATATACCTCATATTAGAAAGTTTTCTTGCTAAAATACTAGAGCACTAATCTTCACTATAATAGCTCAAGATCACTATCACACCGAGGGTTGGCACACACACAAAGCAATCAATTCATTAATTTATTTGAAAGTTTTGAGAGGATTGGACTTGGATCAGTATTGAGTTCATATTCTCCTTTCTTCATCATGATAGAAGGTTGGTAAGATCATTGAAGAAAGTCTTGAGAGTACAAGCTCAATATATAGGATGAAAGAATAATAGATTTCCAAGATGTATGTAAATGGAAATTCCGTACCTCGATGGAAAAAGGGAAGTACGAGCAATTGGAAGTTTAGGTATGTCGTCTCCGATATGTTGTTAATATTGAGTAAATGACCGGCCACGCTAAAATCTACATATTGGAATGAGGACCACTACCCTAAATGATATTGAATGGTATAGTCATCAACCTATCTTATTCACCAAATCGCGACAAATGTTCACTTCATGTGAATTCTGCAAATCCACATCTTAATCATGAATTTCAATGCTCAGATATGTTGTATTTGATATGTTACTAGTAAAATAACCAATGACGTTAATATTCAAATCGCTGGACAACATTATTCGAGATCAATTCTATATCCTAACATGAGGATCCTCTACCTCAAATGGCACTGTCATCGCCTATCCTATTCACTAAATCGCAACAAATGTCCACTTCATATGAATTTCATCATATCCCCATCCTAACATCTTTCATGATATGGTGAATATTACACGTGATTGGAGTACTCAATGGGGCAAAGAATCCCCAACCTGTATTTCGATGACCCTTACCAACTCTAGACCTACAAGTACAAATACTAAATAGACATATAAATGTAGCCATGTCAAAAAATATTTAAGAAACTTGATCAACTCGATAAAATTATGTTGTGTGATGTAACAACTTATATAATCACATCATGCATGCACCCAATTCATACAATAATACTCTCCATGTTCCACACGTGGCGAATTTTTTTGCACAAATTCGAGATCGAAGCGACCGCATATTATAGTCATTCAATTAATTAAACGACATCTTTTGACCCAAAAAAAAATATATACAACATTCATACGGTACAGTACCCATGATTATGAACAATTGTGATTCATGTGATGTCCAACATAATCATAAGTAAAGAAGTTTTTTACCATCATAGGGGCAACTCTCTCATGGAAAATAGAATAAACAATAGAATAAAAAAAAGATGCAAAGATCGTGAAATTGAAAAACCTCAATCGGATCCACGTGATGAACGGTTCTGATCGAATCGGACAACATTTCCTGGCCACGGCCAGTACGGTAGTCGCAGGGGCACTGCGACCGGGGCCCACCTCCTCGGGGCACCCGACACCGCGCACCTGCTCCTTGTACGGTTGAAACTTTGAAAGATCGCACTGTGGATTTTTCATCCGGTGCTCCTCGTCGCGAGTTATTAAAGCGTCTCAACGACTTCCATTGGTCCTTCGCTCCCGCGTAAGCCAACAGGACTCCGCCACGTGGATACGCGCCTTCTCTGTTTCCACTTTTGCCCCCCTGTAAAAGCGCGCGGTTAACTGCCGAAACGGTAACTCCCACTCCGGGCTGCTCATCTGGCAGTTAAAAATATGGAGAGAGAGAGAGAGAAAGAGTCTCTTCTCCTCGTGCCGCGTGCACCGGCACGCAAATAAATGTACTTTGCGAAAATAAATATTATCATTGGTCTACACTTTTTTGTCTGATAAAATTTATTTTGTCAGCACTTTCTATTTTTCATCCTAAAAGTTTGAAAAAAGGGAAAAGTATTTTTGAGTTTCTGAAAATTATGAAACAATTAAATATAACTTTACGCTTCAATAATTATACTTCTTAAAAATTTTAAGTTGTTATAGTCTTTAACAAATAATCAAGTGAACAGCATGATTTTGCAAAATGATAAATAAAAAAAAACACTCCGAATAAATTTACAGTGCACAACCAACCATATAAAGTCATGTCTAATCGGCATCACATCACGACCAATGACTGTACCCCCTAAATTATGGACAGTTGGTTTGCTAAGATTTTTTCCTCGTAATGATATTTTTGTTTAGATGAAACGTGCAATTTTCCGACGTAAACACGTCCTAGAATAATGTTTCATTTATTTCATAAAAAATAAATGATTGGAAAATATTTTTCTAAAAATAATCGCTTGTATTAATTTACAAAATCGGATTAATGAAAAACATTTTCGTCATCCACAAAAATATTTAACACATATTATTGACGATAATGAGAATATCATTCATTAACCAATTATTCCAAACGATACAAACAATCATTTTTAAGAAAAATATTTTTTAAATCATTCGTTTTTCACGAAACAAACAGAGCCTAACATCATTTTCCTAAGTATGAAAGATGGCCCGTCGCGACACCAATTTAATGGTGACAAAAATTTGGACCGATCTAGCAAGGCATGATCCTTCACCTTTCTTGTGCTTTCATGACTTTGAAGTCTATTGGGATACGTTTTATAATGGCGAAAATAAAATAATCAATGATGCATGGCCGTCCAACTTCTTCATCAGCCCTAGCTTAAACAATAATTTTCCCCTTCCGAAAATAAAAATTAAAACAAAAAAAAGATTCCCCCAGAGCTTTTCAGTTTTTTTCATTTGTTTATTATTCCTCCATTCAGCAGCCAACAAAATTTCTCCGTCATTTTTCCACCCATCTCCCCTTATAAAATCTACCGCCCATTCCTTCAGAAAACCTCTTCTCCTTCTCCTTCTCCTTCTCCTCCTCCGCCTTAGCTTCTTCCCCCTGTTCTGGCCTCTCCTTCTTCTTCCTTCTTCCTTCCTTCTTCTTCCTCTGCGCCTTCCTTCCCGTTGCTCTGTTTCTTTGCTTTCTCGCCCTGCTCTCCTCCGTTCCTTGCCCGTGCAGAGAAGCCGAAACTCTGTTCGAGAACCCTGCTCCTCCATCCCGATTGTTTTCATGCTTACCCTAAAGACGCTGCGGTTCTTGATGCTCCGGGACTCATGACGTCTCCCGTGCTCAGCGAGATCCTCCTCTTGGGTTTTATGGTCAACTCCACCCTCCGCCGCAGGACCCACCTCGTTCAATCCTTCTCCGTCGTCTTCCTCTACTGGTTCTACGTTTTCTCATGAACGCGCTCCCTCCGCTCCTCTTCCAACCCTGAACGCTTCGATAGAACTCGCCTTGTAGTCTTTCCTGCGTGCTTTATCCTAGTTTCCGGGCTGTAGTTTTTTTTTTTTTGTCCTTTTTTTTTGTTCCTGGTTGCCAGTGTTGTGCTGTTTGTATTGTGGTCATGGCTTCTTCCAGCACGGGAGCGTCTTCCGGGTCGTCCTCCTTTGCGCTCCAGAACTCGGGCTCCGAGGGGTGCGTGCAGGAGCAGAACCAGATCATGGACCAGCGGAAGCGGAAGCGGATGATCTCGAACCGCGAGTCCGCCCGCCGCTCGCGGATGCGGAAGCAGAAGCACCTGGACGACCTCATGGCCCAGGTTGGGCAGCTCAGGGGCGAGAACGCCCAGATCCTGCAGAGCCTGAACGTGACGAGCCAGCTCTACCTGAGCATCGAGGCCGAGAACTCCGTCCTCAGCGCCCAGGCGGCGGAGCTGAGCAACAGGCTGCAATCGCTGAACGAGATCATCACTTACGTCCATTCCACGAGCTTGCTCTTCGAGACCGACGACCAAGCGGAGGTGCTCGGTGGCGACGACGGATTCATGAACTCGTGGAACGCGTCGGCGTGGATGAATCCGCCCGTCATGGCTCCGGCCGACATCCTGATGTACTGATGCGAAAATGGGTGTGGTTGACTGATGGATGTGCGGCTGGTTGGAGTCAAAGACTCTGTGGTTCGAGGGACGAAGATCAAGAGAGATTTTAGCTGCTGGATGGTTCCATTTTCTTACCGTTTTTCTTCTTTCTTTTTTCGTCTGTTGGTCGAGAAAATCTGGCTACTGGGGATATATTAGGCCTGTAAGATGGATCATTATTAGCTGATGATGTATATTTTAGGCCCTTAAGATGGATTATTGTTAAGTTGATAATGTGTCATTAGCGCGATGCAAGTGGTCCCCGCTGTAATTCCGTGTTATATTAAATAAAAATAAGTTCTATTATTTTAACAGGGTCTTTCAATCGGTCTCTTGCCGACAAAATAATCGTCATTACGAAAAATAGACCATCAAATCAACCGCGAGTTTATTACCTTTGGCTGTACTGTATACGTAAGATTCTATATACGAGACTTTAAGAGAATTCACTCATTATGATATAAGCGTTGAGAGAACCCTAAGGTCGTCCAGTTCCTAACAAAGCTGAAGAATACTGTCCTATTCAAGCCTTATGCCAACATGAAATTTGTTAAATAGAAGCATGCGTTGTTGTTCTCTTCTTGATGGACTGACTCATAATATAAAGAATTTTATAGGTAGGGGTGAATTGAGTCAAGCGACTTGCAGGTCACTCGGGCTCAGATCAATGATTAATCAAGACTAACTTGTATGAATTATACTCAAGCTCAAGCTACTCGACATCTGGTTGAGTAGAGTTTGAACTCATTGAATCTTGGCTTAATCGATCACGAGTATAATCTAGCCTGATCGAATTGAGAAATAAATTTCACCCCACTTAGATAAATATCAGTCGTTGAGCTAATACATGGCCCAAATCGGTTGCTCCTATTTTCTCTTTTTCACATTTTTCTTTCTCCTTTTTATATGTTTCCTCGTCCCATTTTAGCACTACTCCCAAAAACCAATGGGTTAATACCAGGATAATAAAATCATTCCCATCTCTCCCGTTCCCGTCTCTCTTGTCTCTCCCCATTGTCTTATTCAACCTTCGGTCATGGAGGAAGGTTTGAGTTGGTATAACCCTCCCCGCCCCCGCTTGTTGTACGCTTTTCATATATCCTTTTGAGTAATGAATATTTCTTTCTACCAAAAAAATACCATAAAAATTTGCAAATTAGTATTCCCATGAAACATCTTACCTAGATTAATTTTCATCTCACAAAAATTCCAAATTGGTACTTCATATCCCATTTACCCCAAACTAATTTTTGTCTAATAAAAAATCCAAACTTAAATCTACCATCTATTAAAATGCATAGTGTCAAGACATGTATGCCGCATGTCTTGGCACGCGTTTTAATGAGATATTAAACAAACAACTATAGAAAGTAGATCTGGGTCAAGGGTGGTGTTAGGATGCACGTGTAAATTATGTTAAAAAAATCCCACATCGAAAAATTGGTGTAATGTAGAGTAGTTAATATATCCTAGTTGGCCCATGATTTATTGGAATAAGCTTTTGAGTGAATGCGGATCCAATTGAATATGTTAATAAGTTCGGACTTAAGTTCACTCTTGGTGATCTCCCCAAGCAAAAGGTATTGGGCTTTTACTGTACGCTCCTAACAAATTGGTATCAGAGCCAATGTGGTTTGTTACAATGCTTGGTGGATGAAGTTGGGCGTAATTTCCGTGCTGTGGACATTGTGGTGTAACAATGCAAGCTCGGTGGCAAGACTTTATATCTTGAATTAAGGTGGAGCTCACATGTGAGAGGAAGATTATTAGGATGCACGTGAAAAATTGGTGTAATGTAATGCAGTTAATATATCCTAGTTGGTCAATAACTCATTGGGTTAAGCTTTTGAGTAAAGGTGGGCCCAACTGGATATGTTAACAGGTTCGGACTTAAGCTCCCTCTTGATAATCTCCCTTAGTGAAAGATATCAGGTTTCTGCTGTGCCATCCTAACAGGTGGTTTGGGTTTTTTGGTAAGACAAAATTTAGTTCGAGATAAATGTGCCATGAGGTACCAATTTGATATTCTTAATGGTATTAACCCAAGACAAGTCACAATTGTTCTAGCCTCTATTTGAAGATGGAGCAGACCCTATCCTCGACCTCCACCGCTTGCTAATGCGATAGATTCTCTTATGCTCCCAGTCGGCTAGTCCACAAGTTCCTAACCGAAATCTCTCTCTCAATCTCCTTTCTCCTCTCCATCGAGCCCGTTGCAGGTTGGGTTAGGTCCGCTATGCCCTATCCTATGTCGCTGATCCTAATCCCGTCCTCACTAAGCTCAAGCGACACCAAATTTGGCATAGCTTGGCCATAGGCAACCAACCCTCCTCCTGTGACATCGATGTAGAGGATGTGAGATTGAACTCGAAGCAGCCTGATGAGCAAAATGGTAACAACAAGGAGGCACAGAGACAAAGCAATGACATTGCAATGAAGTTGCAATGGCGATGCAAACAGGACAACGGCTCAATGGTGTGAACTAGCACAGCTCAACTAAGAGAGGGAGAGAAGGAAGGAGGAGGGGATGTTATCTTAGGATGTGTGGTTTGTTGTGTTAGTACCTCAAATGATGAGGGTATTTTGGTCAGGGAGGTAACTTTACCATGTAAAATTTGTCTTCCCAACCACAAAGGATCCCGATCACTAATCAAAATAATAGGAAAAATGATATCACAAGTATCATAACTTTCGTACGGCTCTCACTTGAGTGCCATAACCTTTTTTTCGATCATTTGAGTGCTATAATTTATGTATGGGCCATAACTTTTTCCTGATCACTTGAGTTCTATATAACTTTTTAATCGATCACTTGAATATCATAAGTTTTTAAAAAACGTTCACCATAAGTGCTATATCATGTCGGATTTCCGATACTTGAGTAAATGCTTTCAAGAATTTTGGCACTTAAGGCCCGCATGGTAACATTTCTATTTCTCTGTTTTTCTATTTTCTGTTCCCGGGAATAGGTTTGGAACATAAATCCATTTGGTAACGCAATTTCATTTTTCTATTTCTGGAACAAATTTCTATTCCAGAAATAAGTTTGGAACAGAAATCAGAAGTAAAAAAAAATTACTTTTCTATTTCTGGAACAGAAATGAGAAATAAAAAATCTTCTTATCGCTTGCCCTTGCTACTAGCCGGTTACCTCCTTGCCACTCGCTATTGCCGCCTCCCGCCACCACTGGCCGCCTCCCGCCGTCGGCATCCTGCGCCGACCGCCTCCTCCCACCGTCATCCTCCATCGTTCATCACCGCCCAACGTCGGCCGCAACCCGCCCACCGCCGTCTCCCGCCGTCCTTCGCCGCCACCAGCCGTCTCCCACCTGTCGGCCGCCTCTTGCCGCCAACCACCGTCCTCCGCCGCCCGACCCCGATCGCCTCCCGCTCGCCGGCCGTCTCTGCCCGCCAACCACCGTCCTCCGCAGCCCGACTCAGGCCGTCACTTGCCACCAACCGCCGTCCTTCGCAGCCGGCCGCCGTGCTCCACCACCCGACGCTGGCCGCCCTCCGCCACCGGCCACCCACCACCGACCGCTGTCCTCCACCGCTAGCCGCCGTGCTCCACCGCCCAACGCCGGCTGCCCTCCACCCCCGGCAACCATCGCTGCTATCCGCCGCCGGCCGCCGTGCTCCACCACCCGACGCCGGCCACCGCCCGCCACCAATCGCCTCCCGCCGCCAGCCGCCGTCATCCGTCGCCACCGGCGGGCCACCTCCCACCGCCGGCCACCATCCTCCACCCCCCGCCGCCACCCGCCGTCCTCCGCCGGCCGCCCGGAAGGGAGAAATTTTATGTCGTTATCAAACTAATTTCTATTTCGGAAATAAAAATTTTGTGTCGTTATCAAACACACATTTTTGCTCAGAAACTCGTTCACATAATAGAAATAGAAAAATCTATTTCTGGCCAGAAATTGATTTCTGGAATAGAAATGTTACCATGCGCGCCCTAAATGATTGATTAAAAGTTATGCGACTCAAGTGAACGCTTTTTACAAGTCATGGCACTCAAGTGGTCGAAAAAAAAGTTTTTAACTCTCGAGTAAGTATCGTACGAAAGTTGTGACACTTGTGATGTCCATATTCCCAAAATAATACCAACATAGTTATCATACATGCAGAGCAACATGTTTCATTTAATAACCATCGACCCTTAAATAGTTGAAAGTTGAGTCGACCTCAGATTCGGCATGTAAGAATTATACTCGTTTGAGCTTGAGTTTCGCTTATCCTTTAACTCTAGGATAGCGTTTGTATTTATAGAGTTTGTCTTCTAGCTGTTACAGTAATTATATGAGATAAGAATAGACTAATTCAAAATATTTTGAATAGTCCGTTACAGTAGTAACTAGAGTAACAACTACATCCGTTACAGTATTAACTATAGTAATAACTAAATGAGATAAGAATGAACTAATTCAAAATATTTTGAATTTGAATGAGTCATGCATTGTTATCCTTAACAGGCCTCCACAAGTTGAAGGTGGTCTTCTGGATGATCTTCAACTTGGATCTGAGCATATCATGACGACACCTTGTAAGAGGCTTGGTAAAGATATCTGCTATTTGGTCACGTGTGGATATGAAGCGAACCTCAAGTTTGCGTTGTGACACTAAATGGTAGATGAAGTAAAAGTCTACCTCGATATGCTTTGTTCTAGCATGAAAAAGTGGATTCACCGTAAGATACGTTGCCCCTAGGTTGTCACACCAAAGGATAGGAGGTTTTGATTGAGAGATGCCTAATTCTTGTAACAGTGATTGCAACCATACCACTTCTGTCATGGCATTTGCCAATGCCCGATACTCAAATTTGGTTAAGGAACGTGCAATGGTATGCTGCTTTTTGGCTGACCAAGAAATTAGATTTTGACCTATATAAATTGCATAATCTCCTGTTGAGCGCCTATCAATGGGACAACCAGCCCAGTCCACATCATTGTATACACGAAGTTCTGTGGTGGAGTGGGAATTGATGAACAATCCATGCGAAACGGTTTCGTTTAAGTAGCGGAGGATCCGCTTTACCGCACTCCAGTGATCTTCTGTTGGTTCTTTCAAGAACTGGCAGACTTTGTTTACCTTGTAAGAGATAACTGGCCAAGTCAGGGTGACATACTGAAGAGCTCCTATGGTACTCCTACACAAAGTAGCATCTTCAAGTGGCTTACCCTGA